AATGGACCATGAAACAGAAACCCACAGCTTTCTCCACAAACGAAGGCGAGAGGTTTCTCTTTGAACCAAACTCATCTGCGTGTTTACAAGTCGCATCAGAAACAAAGCCGGCTGAAAACGACCTTCTCTGATAGAAAAACACCCACAGTCAAGACCTTTTTTCCCCACGACTGTGAGATTAATGTCGGCACAGAGCGACCACCCGGGAGGGGTCAGGTGGGCCAGAATCACAGGAAACCTCCGACCGACGGAGCAGACGGAAAACACACACACATTAAACCCTTTGCACAGCTTTACGCTGTCTTATGTTTTATCAAGGTGACCAGTCAAGCAGATGGTTCTATCCATCAAACTTCACAATTGTTGCCCCTTCCTGCTCCTTTTAGAAATTCTAATTCTAATCCTGTGACATAAGACAAACAACCTTCTACTGAGTGGCTGCAAAAGCTCAGAGCTAACCCTGGCCCGCGTGGGGGGGGGGGGGGGGGTTGTTCACTGGGCATGAAAAGGACCTCTGATTGATTGAGACGCACTGAATGAAATGAAAAGAGCCCGGGGCTAAAAAAGGCACCACGTGCAGATATGCATTACAATAGAGGAAGCATGTAGGGGAGGGGCCGCCTTTGAACGACGAGGGTACAGCACACGCAGAGGCCATCTGGGTGATTCAAACCCAGGGGCTGCCGTTGGGCATTGAATCGTGCTCCTCAAATCAAGAACAGGAGCTGTAGTGACTGTAAGCTCTCTCAACGTTGAGGGGGAGTCCAGAAGAGGCGCTGACCCGTTGTAAGTGTAGACCTCTACTGGTGGGTGTGATCCTGTAGAGGGAACGGCGTCTAAAGGAAACTCGTGTTTTGGTGTTTCACCCACACGTGTTTTGAAGAAGCCTGCGGTCTCTTGGCTTGAGAAAGGTATTAAATGCAAATGCATCTTCCCACTGATGTGCAGGAGCAAAGAGGACCGTCCCGCATGAACATGCACGTGGCATGGTGATAGTGGGCCCTTATTCAAATGCACTCAAGATGCAAAACAAAAAACCTCTTTACCAGTCAGAGCTTCTTTGAGCTCCCAGGGGGGGAGAAAAATTGGACAATGAGTACAAGGGTTCTTTTTCTTTATATAAAAAGAAAAATCCTGAGAAATTTGAAGCAGAAAAGAAGCATAGTTCCCTGCAATCCTTTTCTACTAGGATGGGGGGCAAATGGTTTAAAGAAATCATTGCAAACATTAGAAACTGCAAGCAACATTGTTCTTTGAATCTTTTTTGTGACTTTAATTTTACCTGGTGATATTTATTCTCCCAACATATTTTGATTTTCATTTCTATGACAAATCTCGATCTAATGTGTATATGTATACAGCTAGCTGCATGACATTTTGTATGTATATGTAATATATGATATATGATAAAATGCCTTCCTCTTGAAACCCAACAGATAATCTGCCCTTTTGAATTTTGGCTGAATTTCTCTCGTTTTTCTGTTCATTGTCGGCCGCTGAAATATAGGGAATTGATCAGATCAACTTGGTTTTACGCTTGAACTTTGTCGGTGCTCGGTCCCTAATCAACCAACGCAACTAGGGCCTAATGTCATAACCGTTCTGGTGAATTTGCCTGCATTTTGTAACAGAAAAACAGGCACATTTTCAGAGCAAAAAGTACCACAATCTGCATTTTGCCCAACGGTCGTTGCTGTTCTCGGCCAACACAGACCTTGTCTCCTAATCGGATGAAAAAAAGCTAGTATCAGATATTCGTCTGTCCCTTCAAATCCGATTTGAGGGCGCCGTGTACCTCGCTGTACGTCACTGATGGCTGGTTTTGCAGAAGGACGCAGGTGGTGCTCGTCCAATTAACCGGCCGTGCAGCCTCACGATGCAGAATGACGGGAAACTGTCAATAAAAATGCTGCTTAATCATTGTTAAGTGTTGACCTCTCTCAGCCAGATGGGGCTAGTGTTGCCCCCCTCTCACCCTCATAATTCACCTATTTGGCATTTTTATGTTACGTTATTGCTAAAGGGCCTGATGCCGTCCATTGCTTAATAGCAGAACACTGACTAGTTGGATTGTAGTGCAAAAACTAAGCTGCATCTGTTTACTCAACTCAATGCACGAGGTACAAGGTGGCTATTTTGAGGCTAACACAACATACTATTAACTTGACTGGTGGCTAAACCTCGCTCCACCGTAGTTACTGTTGCCAGGCTCCCTTTCATGACATTGTTCATGGTGACTTTATTTAAAAAATGAAAATAAAAAGCAGGACTGCTAATAAACTCCACACCATTAGAATGTGGGGCTTTAAAAATAAAATCTAGCGTCAATATTGTGCTAATTGGAAGTTATGCAGCGTTATGTATGAAGCTTTTTAAGAAGCATTAACAGCCAACAGTTAAGCTCTTTTGTTTTGTTTATTTTAAGAAAACTTTATTGCTGTAATCCAAAGCTGAGCAGGCTGGCCGTTTGGTTTATTAAATGATGAGCAGTCTGCTGAACAGTTGCAAAAATAACAATGAAATAATGGACCTTAACTGTAACATTTTACTTAAGCATCCTTTGTGAAGGAAAGGCCTCAGTATCATGATCCATGCAACCAGCAAACCTCTTGCCTGTGTTATAATGGACACACACACACACACACACACACACACACACACACACACACACACACACACAGGTGTGTGCGCTACAGGGATCTCAAATGGTTGTATCCACAAGATTCTGTTGTTGCCATGGTGCTGCACTGCATCTCCTTGAATCGCCATGGAAACACAAAAAAATGATGACTGGCGTGGTGCTGGAAGTGAAGTGGGTCAAGAGCCCCACACGAATCCAATCCGGTGGAAGCAAATTCACGTGTTCATCCGACCCAGGTCAAGTTCTACAAGTTCTACAAGGAAACAAACCGGCGGGGGGATTACATTTACTGTACACGACATTTTGAAAAAAAGTTGATCAAATGTCTTTTATAAACCTCCGTCCCTGTGCTACAGAGAACAGCTTCCACACCCCGAGTTCAGATTTAAACCTCTGAAGTGAAATACACCTCAGTCCTTGCCTATTGTTTTAATTGCTGTCTGGTTCAGTAGACCCTCACTATGCCTCCTAAAATCCCAATTCATAACATGTTAAAATGTCAGTGAGTTTGATGGAAATGAGTCTCCATCTTGTGGTGGTACGTGTTACAGTTTTCACTTTGCAGGGTGGGAGCCATTTTTTTAATAACACACAATCACAGCAGTGAGACCACAATCCAAACATCCCGCAATGAGCCTAATAGTGCGTCACATGCATGTCGGCTGCTTTCAGATTTGCATTAATCTCCCAACACATCTGCGTTAACCACAGCTAGATATTGTTTTTCCATCAACCAGTCAGCGGTACCATGCACCAACACGATGAATGAAAGCTTTAATCAAAGCTTGTGCTGACATCTAGAGGTTGGAGGAGTTGACACATAGAAATAGAAATATTTACTACAGTAGTAAAATAAGAATAGTGTACTACTTAGAACATTTATGTAAATATGTGTAAAACTGCAACATTCCCCTCTGAAATGTAATGGATTAGTAATATAAAGTAGCATAGAATGTGTCTAAGACTGAAGCAAGTAGGCAGGAGGGTATTTTCTGCATATCTGAACTATAGCAATTAAATAAATGAGTTGATTCATATATTAACATGAACGTCTTTAATGTGTGACATTTGCTCCATTAAAGTTAAGATATATGCCCAGTTTTAAGAAGATAAACACACAACAATTGTGACCACTTGTTGATGCGCATGGTAAAAAGCACTGAAATTAAAAAATATATAATCACACATGAGCCGCTGCTGCGCAAAGCAGGAACTTGTGGAGAGGCCGCCTACTCATGACGTAAGATCTATTGCCTTACGAAACCCTGACGCGGCGTGGGCCCAACATTAGGATGTTACGAGCAGCGCTTGAAGGCAGCACGCAATCCTCCGGTGTCTCCTCTGACCTCCTCGGGTCCTGCTCTCTTCTCCCGAGTGTCTGACCGCCGGCGGGGTGCGTCTGCTGGAGATGCTGGTGGAGGGAGGCGACTGCGTCAAGCGAGCAGTAATCAGGCAGAACAAAACCGGAAAATGCACAAATCCAGCTTCAGTATAAAAGCACCACAACTCCGGTTTCTTTTTGCCCCTGTTTTTCAATCAGAACCATTCTATCGCAGGGGCGTGCAGGGGAGTGACCGCTAGGAAGTCGGGAGGACAGAGTCAGTCAGTGGAGGACACGGGCTCTGTTAACGAGCCAGACTGCTGACAGGAAGAAACTATTTGTGTGGCATGAGGTCTTGGGGTCCTGATGGACCTCAGCCTCCTGCCAGGTGGAATGACACAAACCTGTTTTTGTCTGGAGTGTGAGGGGTCATATGCAATCTTTCTAGCTCGCTTTAGGGTCCTTGAGGGGCGGCAGATTGCAGCCAATCCCCCTTTCTGCAGAGCGTTTGACACGCTGCAGTCGGCCCTTGTCCTTGGCTGTGGCTGCAGCGTACCAGACGGTGATAGAGGAGCTTCAGCTGCACTGCTGGAAGATATGGGAGCAAGTGCTAAACACCAGCTCCCGCTTGAGGTTCTGGGTAATGATGGAGCCCAGGAAACGGAAGGATTCCACAGCGATGACGTGGGAGTCAGACAGGGTGATGGGGGCTGCGTTCTTCCTGAAATCTACCATCTCCACTGTGGAAGATAGTGGATAGAAGATGTGTGTTTCAACTCTGATATGTGTAAAACAGACAGCCAAAGTCATAGGGAGATTTTGTTTTTTAATTTAGTGGATATGAGGAACCAATAAGGTTACAGAGCAAATTGAGGGCTAGCTGAGTAAATGTTCTTCTGAGCACTTGGATTAAAATATCTCCCTATTGTTGACCTTTTACTTTTACTCTGAAAACTCAGACCGGAAGTACACCGTAAAACTACCCCGTACTTAACGTCAAGGGGCGGGGGGGGGAGCAGAAGCGGTAAATAAATAAATTAAAAACCCTCCCGCCTCTCTACCAGACACCTTGCGAGGCAGCCCAGACAAGAAGACATCTCGCGAAAAGGTCAAAGGCAAAGAAAGAAAAAAAATGCACTGAACCCCCGCGCGAGGCTCACGCGCCCCGAGCAGGTGTCCCATCCAACATTAGTTCGGGAGGAAAAAGAGGGCGAGGAAGAACAAGAAGAGCAGGAGGAATGAAGAAACACCTGAGCCCAACCAAGCAGCAGCCGGTGGCGGCCGCGGCGGCTGCCGCCGGTACCGAGGTGACCGTTAAACAACTCAACGAGCTCCTTTCCGACGGCAGCGGCTTCTACAACCTCCCGACGCAGCACTTCAACGAGGTCTTCCCGCGGGTCTACGTCGGCAACGCGTGAGTCATTTCTCAGCCGCCACTCATGCGTTCACCGTAGACTCCTCGCGGAGGTCGACAGGTGTGACAAATGGCAACAGTGTCGCGCGCGTGCGCTCAGGGAGCACGCGCATCAGCGAGGGCTTGTTTATTCGTCTTAATTGTCTTAATTAGGTGTCTCCTCTACCATCATCATCATCATCATGGAGGGAAGCGACCGCCTGTTGTGTTCGTCACGCCGTGCTGTCGTCCGCAGGCACGCACAGTTGCGTCGCGTAACTGTTCCGATGGAGATCATCGCATTCGATAAAGCACAATGAACGCGCCGGGATGCACAATTGAAAAGAAAAGGGGGGACGGGACACAACGAGGGGGGGGGGGGCGCGCAACCCCCCATCGATTACTCGCTCCATCATTAGCGCGTCGAGCCGCTCCCCTTCCCCACCCGCTGCAACAAAAATCACCACAACAACAACAACCAAAGAGAAATAGGTTAAAAAAAAGGGGGGGGGCAGGGTATTTTCATTCATAATCTGCTTCAGGAAAAAAGGGTTAAAAACCCTGACCGGCTGGGTTCTTGCGGGACAAACATGGGGCGCGTTTGTTTTGTAGTCGTGAAGTGAAGATGCTTCATTCAGTGACTCGTGAAGCGTCGTGAGCTCCTTTATGACGTCAATGCAAATCAAGCGCGTTTTTTAGAGAAACACACATTGTGAATTCAATTAAACAAAAGTGTGTAGAGATAAAAACCTGATAAGATCTGCCTTTTATTTTCTTTCTTGTCTAATCTTATCAATATCAGCCTAGCTATTGTGACGTTTCCTTTGTTCATGGGTGAAATCAAGAAAATAATAAACAGATTCAATTTAAAGTGATTTTTAGTTATTTATTCATTTATCCCTCAACGTGATAATACAAAAAGTCTACGTCCCTAAAATTAAGCTCAAGGACCTCCCAATAAATTTTGAAATACAGTTTGTATTGATATTTGAAATCTGAGGAAATACGATAAACGCTTTAATTATTTTTTTGAGTCAAAGATTAATGACATTGTCTGTAAAGATTTAGGACAACAATAAAAGAAAAAAAGGCCCAGGTGACGTTATGCAAGGTGTTGTTTTGACTATATTCAGTTTACTAAAAAATAGTAATAGTATCTAAATAGCTGGTGCTGTGCGGTTTAATTGCAGCCCTGTCCTCTATAGCATGCAGTGAAATGAGTCGCGCACACAAACCCATACGAACAAATGCATATACTGGCAGAGGAGGAACCATACATCTACATTTGGTTGACTAGGTTCTATTGGCTTTGTGATGAACATGCTGACTTTTCAGGAATTTGTGGTATTGTGTGAAAGTTGTCACGGGAAGCGGGGAAGGCAGGACTCAAACGCAGAGTTTCAAAAACAAAAAGACTTTAATGGTCAACAATTCCAAAAGCAAAAAGGCCAAGGGGAAAAACCGCAGACAGGAACCAAGAACACTCTGACATGGGCATTCAGTACATTCAACAACAAGAGACACACATGGCTTAAATACACTAGGGAGGTGCAGGTGATTGGACACAGGTGGAAACAATCATTACAGGCAGACAATCACAGGGGATGACAGGACAAGGCAGGAAGTGACGTTACCCAGAGAGAGGCAAGAAACTACAAAATAAAACCGGACATGAACCCAAACCGTGACAAAAGTATAAGTACACAACAGTTCTGGGTTCTTACGCTCAGTACACATAGTAAGAAGAAGGAGATGTATGCAGAAGACCACGTGTGCAAATTTGTTTAAGAAGTGAATATTTAAGAAAGTATTCTCTGCTTTATGGTCTGTTTGACTCTAAATGGACCATCATTTATAAAATAAATAGGAGTCGCCCCCTGGGGGATATTAGATAGAAGGCAGGTTCAAGGCACTTTTCTCTCTAAATTATTTTCTGTGGGTCAAATTGGACTAATGGCCCACATTCACTCAGATACTGACTTTTTTTTTTTTTAAGAAATCAAAAAGCTTTCGGCAAGTGAGAATTAATCATTGCAAGAGAATCTTTTTTGATTACATATTTTCTGAAAACGTATGTTTTGAAATGCAAAAGAAAAATGATCCAAGAATCAGTTGAATTTGAGAAATCTACAGGCGTAGATGCATCAAAAACAAAGACACGAAAAAAAAGTTTTCTTGTGGTTTTTGTACCTTAACTCAGGCATTATAATGTGTGTACATTATATAGTAAATTAGTCTCTTCTGCAACCTGAAAATAAAATCCAATGTGTCCAATTGGTCTGTAAAGCCATGTACAAAAAAGAAGCCACAGGACACATGATACTAGCAATAAAAGCTTCTCGTTAGACAACGTAGTCATGGATGCCCCCGAGAAACATAGTGTCTTCAGGCACTCATTTGGCTGAATGAGCCAAGTCTCCGGGCGAAGTGCAGTCGCCTGCTGGGCCGAAGCTCATCAGACACCCCGGAGAGTCTGATCTGCCTTCAGCTTTAGTTTTTTTGGATTTCAGATAAAGAGAATGTCCTTCTTTTGTAATCGTTTGAAGCAGCATTAGTCCTCCCTGTACGGTGGAGGTAATTAGCAAAGTATTTTATTATTACAGTACATCATAGGCAGTCCAGACAAGTCGAAAGGGCAGCGTGATGAAATGTGATATAACAAGTGGCTCATGCAGAGAGAGGTGGTATTGATTGTTGTTGAAAGCCTGAACCTCCACCACTGGGACCCAATATGCCTTTCCTGCTGATGTATCCTGTATATTCGTCTTCTTACAATTGAATTTGTGTAGCTGGCCAACATGAAAACAAACACACCCATTAACACAATTATATGTAATGTAGGCCTATATGTGGTGGTATGTGGTGCATCCGTTCACTGACGGGAAGAAATAGCTTTATCCTTGTAAGTGTTCATTAACGTTTCCCATCATGGGACCCCCGCCCCCCTCAGGGACTTGGGCCCATGACCTATTTTAAGCTTCAATCCACGCTTTAAAAACAACCAGGAAGAAGTGTAATTTAGGATTGTTCACCTAATAATATACATTATACATCCGTGTTGAAAAAGACCATCAGAACTTTCTCCCATAAGCCACATTGTTTACTAACATTTCCCCTGCTCGACCACCATTACTACGTAGTAAACAAGTCATGGTCACTTCGCCAACACCTACTTCAATGTTTGGAAGCAGGTTTTATGAGTTTAACATTTTTGCTTATACTGCGTAACGTTAGACAACAACGTGTAGGAGTAAAGTTCTCCACTAGCTAACGTCAGCCCAACATGAAAAAAGTAGCGTTAGCTCAGTTAACGAGCCTCAGCTAGCGTTGACTCAGTTAACGCAGCTCAGCTAGCGGCTCAGCTAGCGGCTCAGCTGGCGGTAGCTCAGTTAACGAGCCTCAGCTAGCGTTGGATCAGTTAACGCGGCTCAGCTAGCGGCTCAGCTGGCGGTAGCTCAGTTAACGAGCCTCAGCTAGCGTTTGAAAATCCAAATCAGTGCCATACTCAAACCTTTCAGTTGTCCTGTATGGTAGGTTTGTTTTATTATTTTATCACATTACAGATTATATCCCCATTGTACACGCTCTTTAAGAAAAGTAACAAAGCAATACGTCATCCAAAACAGACATCTGGAAAAAAAACAACAACAGTAGAATATTGCGTTTTAAAAATGCTGATCCATGGCCATTTTTCATGAACCGGTCAGTAAAGTGTCCCCGTCCCTCAAATGGATTAAGAGTGTATTTTCCACAACTCAAACCCCTTACACTGTTTCTAGATTGGTCGCACTCAGCACAAATGAAACCACCCGCGTGCAGCTCACGGACACACTTAAGGTGGGGTTTGTTTGCTTTGAGGAATGCTTTGGCTCTTTGTGATTTCGGTC